AAAGTACATGAATCTTTTATGAAGGTCACTCAGAAAACAGCAAGAGTGCGAGCTAATTGTCTTCCTTCTCCCAGGGGTCTTACGAAAGTCATATGGGAAAAATGAGCAGGTACTGTACCTGCTAATAACTGTACCGAGCCATAATTGGAATAAACCTTCAAGAGCTCTCAAATCGTCACTAATTAGTCTTACCCAACATACCCATTAACTCTACGCAGTTTCTACATCGTACATCAGTATTACTGTACCCCAAAGAGAGATAAGCAATGATGTAGGCACTAATTGAGCCCTATCAGGGCGTCACCTTATAGCTTGACGATGACCTCACCCCGCCGAGTAAATGATCAACAGAGGGGCACGACTCAAAGCAGACATTGACGGCTCTTACGCATGAGGACAGACACATCCGCACGCAAACCATGTACATGTGTGAATCTTCGTCCCGCTGCTTAGGTCAGACCTGTTTACACTTTAACCAGAATTGTGGTGAAGGGACTTCGGTGCTTTGCAACCTTGTTATTAGCCTGTTGTGGGGTGTCTGGCTCTGGAATGTTTACATGTAAACAGCCCAGCCCCCTCCTCCAGAGTCTACATGGAACGCTCCATCTGTGAGGTCTATAATTTACCCCCCAGCTTAAGAGCAGACCACTAACACCACTTAGGGGGATGGGGCTTTGTGGCTAATGAGTATTTATAGGCCAGTATTGACATCACAATCCCCATGGTAGAATGCCTGTGTGTGTTTCTGTATATTTTCATGACTTTGTAAGAAATTCATGAAAGAAAACCAGGAAAAACAGGGCTGACCTGAAACAGAAGATGTTTTTTTTCAGTCACTGAGGTTAAAGGGCACACATTACAAAAAAACTGAATTTAACTTGCTTTTTTGGAATAAATGAGTCTGAAATAATACATAAACACACCAAAGTTTTAAAACATACAGCTCATACAGCTCCCCAGTCCATACAGTCCATATATGAGCTGAAACACTCCTATAAAAAACAGCCTGTTTCTGTTACTGTTCCTTAAACTTGTATATGTAAATGGACTCTGACTGACTGGCTCATTCACAAAAACAGGCAAAAACAGGGACAAAGAAAAAATGCTCATGTAAAAAATTAATTATGGCCATTTTTGGTAAATAAAACCACACAAATGTTATAATTGGAAGAGAAAAACAATAAAAATAAAATTCAAGAAAAAGCAGGATATGGGCCCTTTAAGGTTAAGGTAATTTTAAGATTACACTCAGTAACACTTTACCAAGGGCCAGTATTTGGAAGGCTACCTGACACCAACATAAACCTTTAATGAGAACATAAACCTAAAGTAACATTTATAAAAGGTGTATGAATTATTATAAAGGCTGCTTTTGTCAGTTTTAAATGTCATTTCACTGCAGTAACTGTTATGACAACTGTTGGAATAAGCCTTTATGAAGGTGTTAGTTGTCATGAAAACATCTGTAGGTGTCACATATGTAGGTGTTGTGTAGCCTTACGAATCCTGCCCTTCAGTAAAAAATAAATAAATAAATAAAATATACATATATACATACACATACATATATATATATATATATATATATATATATATATATATATATATATATATACACACACACACACACACACACACACATATATACATACTGACATTGTTAATATATATATATATATATATATATATATATATATATATATATATATATATATATGTATTTTAACAATGTATGTCATGATATTTTTTTTTCTGACATCTGATAAGTTGGAACATACAAAGCAGTCCCATATTTAAAAACACCAAAACTGAATCCAATTATTTGTATTTAATATTTTACATACTGTGCTGAACTGTTTCCAATTAAACAGGGCTAATTATACATTCTTTGTAATAAAACATGTAGTTGGAAAGTGTTGAGTACTAATGATATCCACAAAATGCTCAGAAAAGGATACTGTGACATGTTGTGACATAATTTATCACAAGAACAATTAATATTAACATACTGCCCAGCTCTACTTTGTCAGTTCTAACTTATCAAAAAGAAATTTGTATCGTGAAATGCTCTTAAAATATAGTTTTATTATGACACTATGTCATGGTGTCATGAGGAAGGGGGCAGACAGAAACACATGAAGAGCTTACCTTAAGAAGGAAACACGTACCAACATGTGTGTAAATAGCAGCTCTTCTAAGTAAAGCAGCAGCCCTTCTTAGTCAACCAGTATTACTGCCCCACGAGATTGCTTTATACATATACCATCACTGACAGTCCCTCATATTTCAAAATGTAACAAGGTTTATGATCATTCCTGCTGATCCATTCTTTGTGAAAGGTTCTTTTCAGCAAAGAGTGAAACCTTCAGGGTGAAGGGATGAGGACATAGAACCACTTCTGACTGACATCTACTCAGAGGGAGTGATTAGGAATGAGCAGTAGCAGCACCCATAAGGGCACATCACACTTAAGGCAAGATACTTGTGATTTATTTATTAGACTTCAGAGTCTGTTGAGCCAGTGCACAGCTGTTCTGTACCTACTGCGAGGCATTTAACAGCGGAAATGCCCCTTGTCTCTGCCCAGGCAGTCTGGGACTCTAAGAGAGGGCAAACACTTTCTACAGGCTCACACCACAGGACTCCCCCTGCTACTCATTCTGCCTTCAGAGCAGTCAAAGGAATAGTTTGGTGAACAATTAAATTACTTAATTTTCCCCCTTACCCCAATGTAGTAGCACTGAGCAAAATGCACGCAAGTAATAAAAAACAGATTTGTTTACATGGCATCTGACCCTGTACAACAAACTGTGTACAAAATTTATATTTATCAAAAAATCTGTTTAGAATTCATGTTTGCAACTACTGCCAACAATATACAATATACTTTTGTCCATTTTTACAAGAGCACTTAACATCTATACGCAGTTTAAGGCAAGTGTGTGATAAATTTCGAATGCAGTTTGATGCTAATAGGCAGGCTCTAAGCTGCTATTATTTGTTAGCAAAAAGTCTGTGACTTGGACTCACACTCACCCTTAACTGACTCTATTATCAAGACCAAAGACTTACTCAACCAGAGGAAATAAAAAAAACACAAAAAAAAACACAAACAAAACTGACTACATTGGCACTGCCAACCTTAATGCAGCAATGAAACCTTCTGTGTCCAACCCTACGTGCGTAACCATGCCAGAGATTGGAAAACTCAGCTCGCATTTTCATGAATCAACTCCTGACCATCTCTGATTGTTAGCTACCTGAGCCTCTTAGCTCTAAAAAAACTAAAACAAACAAACAAACAAACAAACTTTAGACACCGAACAAATCTCAGCTGATTGACTACATTTGAGGTAAAAGTAAATTTGAGGAATTGCTTTAATGCCAGTTTCTGTTTCCTAAAATTATTATTATTTTTTTATTTGTGTTGGTTTAACCTCTATCACAACTTAATTAAAACATACCTGTTTCTATCGAATGACAAGAAAGTGCATTAATGACCTTTATTTCAAATGCAGAATTTCAGCTCCACTTATTAAGGTTAAATTAAGAACCATGTATTAAAGCCAAACAGGATTACAGACCATAGATCCAAAGTCTTGCTACAAGGAAACTTGATCTTCAGGGCTTCATCTGCTGGAAAATCTGCTGATTAAGAGAATGGTCTTCCTTCTGACTGCTGAGCCAAAGTGTAATGTTAACCCCTCTATCTGGGTCCAGGCCAGAACCTGCTTTCTTAACCTGCCTGCTCAGGGCATCCCGTTGCCTAACTGGCTCCGAGTGCTCTTCAAATGTTGACTGGCAGATTGGCTCTTAGGTGGCTCTTGGCTTGGATGTCAGCTCCAAGAAAAACCTTTAATAGGAACCCTTATATTAAATATGAAATATTCTAACTGTGAAATATTCTGAGGAGATTTTTTTGCACACAAGATGCAACACTTTTTTTGGAATTTCGGATTGTTGTTTGCACTGCAAAAGAAACTATCAAACTGGTAAGATATCAATTGCTCACAAAAAGGGCAAACAGGGACACTGAGCAGGACACTTTCCTTTTTGGAGAAGTGAAAGTCGAACACCTCATTCAGGAGCTAAAACAGAATGACTGCTTTCACGCATAGCTCGGACATCCCCAGCCCATTCTGAACTGATTTTGGAGACGATAGCACCACATGTGACAAAGCAGAGTACAAATTAATCCTTGTGATGCTTGTCAAAAAGGTTCAGTTGCTGATCGGTCAGCTGGGTTGTTGCTATGCCAACAAAAGAACTGGATAGCAGTGATGGGTCAATGTTTATGTTGCCTGAGAAAGAAAACTGCGGCAAAAACTGAACAGAGGGCGAATAATGTAATGCTGCGCTCTCGTCTATCTGAAGAATTGCATATCATATGTCAGGTATCATCAGTCACACACATGCACACAAATTTAATGACATCCAAATAAATTGCACAAATAAAAGAAAAGTCTTAAAGGGTTTTAAGCAGCCTTCATTTATCAAGAAAAACAGGTTTCGTGCATGCTGCAGCCATTCACCTGAACAGAGACAGGGAACCGAGACAGGGGACACGCAAGCCGCACCACACAGCAGCAATGTAGTTTCAATTGACTAAACTTTGACTTGAAATGCACAGTCATTGATGGCAGGCATTACTTTTGCATCTTAAAAATATAGGGACTATGGAAAAATGCCTATTCTGTAGATCAAGTTTTTTTGAATTATACACTCTAAGTACCACACAGCGTTTGGAATACTGTTTTGAGTTCTGATGGGTGGCTCTGAAAGTAAATCTGGCAACTTTACAAAGTGGCATTCAACAACTATTTTCTGTGAAGTGAATGCTGCTTTAGTCTGAAGCTGGTGGCACACATGGGTCAAGGTGTTCTTAAAACTAACACTAGCAATGTCTCTGTCAGGCCAAAAGCTCTGATCCTCTGAAGCTCTGAGTCACGGAGGATTAGGTAAGATATAGGTAAAGGCAGTTTGTGTGTGTGGGCTGCTACCTGCAGTATGAGGACGAAGTAGTCGACGGCTTTGCCGCGCTGGTAGACGTAGTGCTGGGGCGACCGTTTGTCGTTCTCATTGAATTTGATATCCTGGATCACGTCTGGGTGCTTCAAGATCCTCAACAGAATCTTCTCTGAGATCTGAGACTGACAGAACAAATTCACCTCTGTAGGGGTGAGAGAGAGAGAGAGAGAGAGAGAGAGAGAGAGAGAAGAGGAAGATGGAAAGAGAGTGAGAGAGAGAAAGAGAGAAAAAAGATGAAGATGGAGTGCAAAAAGAGGAAGATGGAGAAGGGAGGGAGAGGGAGAGAGAGAGAGAGAGAGAGAGAGAGAGAGAGAGAGAGAAGGAAAGAAAAATGGAGAGAAAAGAGAAATGGAGAACAAGAAGGAGGAAGATGGAAAGAGTGAGAGAGAGAAAGAGAGAGAGAGAGACACAAACAGATAGAAAGAGAAAAAGATGGAAAAAGAGAGAGACAGGAAAAGAGAAAGCAAAGAGAAAAAACAGGAAAAGAGAGAGAGAGAGAAAGTAGAGGGAGAAAGAGAAAGAGACAGAAATAAAAAAGGAAAGGGAGAAAGAGGTTGACCGATAGAAAGAGGGAAAAACAGGAAGAAGAGTGGAGAAATGCATGTGGACAAAATTAATGTTGGTTGAAATTCATTAAAACACAGACACTTTAAAAGACTCGTGTGGTTTCTGCTTTGTCTGATGGGCCTTTTTCTATTCACTCTTCACTCAGAGCCAAGATGCTGACCTCACACTCCTGACCTCCTCCAGACCACAGAGCCTTTTACCCACACTGCCTCCCTCTTGCCTGCACCAGTCCACTTTACTCAGCACCATGACTCCATCTAACAGACGGCTTGTTACTGCCAGCAGCCCACTAACCATCTAAGGCTCAGCAGGGGACGGCGCTGCATGGGAGGGCCTCATAAGCAACGGCCACAAATACCACAGTGCTGCTGTAGCACAGTAGTGTCCCCTGGAAACTCCTATTTTCCCAGGTGCCGTGGCTGAAAAGTAGACTATTCATTTGCATCAAGGTCAGAACTATTATGTTAAAGGGTCCATATTCTGGAAAAGTTATTTCTCAGCAAAAGATTTCACTGCTTTGTTAAAAGAGTACTATGTAGGGCCCGTCAGAAAATTTTAGCCAATGATTGTCAAATGCATAATTACGATTAACAATTTAATTGTCTTTTCGTGTTCCTTGTATGTATCTATTAAAGTAACCAAACTTTAATAGCTTTCCTTAACTTAGTAGCTAACATTGGTACTACCATTGAAAAGACACACTACACTGTTTGGCGTGTGCACACACTTTCACACACGTCTCAGATACACAGAATCAAAGCTTCTGTTTTTTCTTTAGAGTAAAATTATATTAAAAAGCACTTATTCTGTTGGCATGCAGGCAAAAAAACACCAGAATTAGCTACACAGCTAACAAATAAACAAACATTACTTAGACTGCCCCCTAAATATGTTAGAGCACCATTAGAAGTCAGATGTTTTTTGGTTTCATAAGCCCCATAATGCATCTCAAAGAATGCATTTAGTGCTTTTTTATTTACGTTTATTGGCCAAACACACACAATTCACATTTTGTTTGCTATGGCTTGTTATTGTGAAAATCTAATAACTGCAAAATGATTGCAGTCAGCTTAAATAACTGAAACCATCTCAAATAATTGTGATTAGGCAATTATATAATTTTTAGGTCTAGTACTATATAAACATAGAAGCAGAATTATTGGAGTGAAACATGGTGGAAGAATGATTAAACATTGTGCTGTTCCTGACTGTCAGGAAAAAAAGTATCACTTAAGCCAGATCCAGGATCTGGACATCCAAAGGAGAGGATGAAGTTTATTTTTCTTGATGTTGTTGAGAAATTCAGTTTAAACTTATAAACATTTACGGTTACATTTTTAGCCCAGACAGATTTTTGAATGAAGCACAATACAGCGCTGGCAGTCAGAACAGAGATCACTTACAAACAGTGTCAGTGTCACTGCAGTGCTGAGAATGATTCCCCAAAATAACACCTGCTTGGTGGTGGTCCAGTGGGGGTCCTGACCATTAAAGAACGAGGTAAAGAAAGGCTAAAAAGTAATGCTGAGAAATGGACTACAATCTGTAATTGGAGAAATGTAAAATGTACTGCCTTTGTATGCAGATGTTTGAATAAATTACAGGTTTTGTTGATTTAAGTTAAAATAACATAGCATTTCTCCAGCGAATAATGCAACAAGTAGTGCACAACTTGTATTTATTTGCTGAGTTTAACATATTGTAAAAAAATTAAACATAAAATATAAGATGTGCCATAACAGGCCATATATTATGTTTTAATTGGTTCCTCAATGTATTAAATTTACCTAATAAACAGTAACTGTGCATTAAAATATACACAAGTATGTTCTCTGTAGAGGACGTGCTCACCTACATTCACGTAAAAAATAAGCAAAATGTCATTTGATCTGGGGTGCACAAACTTTTGAATATAACTGTATATGATAAGTGGACCGGATGAAATTTACGATGAGCGTATATACAAGGTGTACCCAATCAAATGGCCAAAAATGCAAGCCCTTTTTTCTAAAGCGATTCCTTATGTGAATAAAGGCTGATTAACATTTTCACTCGAGTGGAATCGGACCACCGCACTCCACAAGCTCCCCCAAACTCCTATCTTTTATGGTATGCAGTTCACTGTGAGCCCTGTGATTAGTTATGTACCTGTGGCTAGGAAGCGGTGGGCAGCCAGCAGCAGCTGAGGAGAAATCTTGACTTTAGATTCACTCTCGTGCTTGAAGGCGGAGAAGTCTCGCTTGTTCTTATTGGGCGCCACTTTTTTCCTGGTACGATTGTCAGCTAGAATTGTAAAAGACACACGAGTGTAAATGATTGAACACATTTCTCAAACACAGATCATAAAACATCATTCAGTAACAGGTGCTCAACATGGTCAGGATATTAATTATCTATAAGAACCAGTCAGGCTACAAAAGATTAAGGGCAGCCAGTCGAGCTGTAAAACACTGCTAATCACTAAATATTAACCTTTCATTTTAACTCTGCAGCTTAAACTTCAACCACTGCAGTGAAAAACTGTTTAAAAACAAAACATACAAAGATATGAGTCAAAGGTCTGTTTCACCAAACAGTCAACAGCAAAACATGAAGTATCATTGCTGAGGGTTTTTTTAAGGACGTATGACACCACAACATACACTATTGTTTGCGATTCTTTGTTTGTGGAGGTGTGTGAAAGAGGTGTCTTTTCATGATGACTGAGTAAATGAAGTATGGTATTGAGTGTTGCAAGGGATTATGCAAGAAAAACAGGCTGTGGGCTTGTGTGCAAGCTTAAAGGAGACCAAGTTATGCTTTGTCATTATCAGATAACATATGCGTTACTAACCACTGTGTATTCCATTCAAGAAATCGTGAAACGTCTCTGCTGTTTTTGCATATACTCCTTTCAAAAAAGCAATGCGATTCAACAGGCCATTGGGATTTCTTTCTGCTTTCTTCACAGCCAAGTACAGCATCCCAGCAGAATAACCACACCCACCAACCCCGCCTTCTTCACAGTAAACAGTATTTCAGACATAAACAAGAATAACTGTGTTGTTGTTGGAGGCCAGGTTTCCAGAGAATCATGTTTTCAAGCACAGGCAAGTGAACACCTCAGTTTCTGTACTTCTAACATACCACCATACAAACTCATGTTGGTACTCTGCGACTGACTGCAAGCACCGTTCAGTTTCTCAGCACCTGACTCGGCATTTTGTCATTACTACATTAAACTGAGGCATATTGAGACCACAGAAAGCCACAGTAGATCACATATGGCTTGAATACTACACAGAGAAAGGAAGTCTGTCTTTTAGATAAACAGACAAATGTTAATGGCCTGTTATCTCCACTAATGTTAATAGGTTAGCCCCCAAGAAAGACCCTTTCTTCACAGATGAGAAAATTCTAGGTTAAAACACACTACACAAAAACTGAATTAAAGAGTTTTGCCCCCTCAGTCATCACAGATGTATTAAAAGTGCAGAAGGAAGCATACTGAACTGAAAAAAGGGGTCTCCTTAAAATGTTTTCTCTAAAAGAGTCACTCACTGTAAAGGTCCGATTCATCCAGGATCTCTGATTTGATGATCTCCTCGATGACGTCCTCCAAAGTGACCAATCCCAAAACCTCATAGAACGGATCCCCCTCCCCCTCATTATTCACCTTCTGGACGATGGCCAGGTGGGATTTACCTGTAAAAGAAATACAGATCATTGAAATCAATCAGTCTGTCGTCACAGTCCTCCCTTAGCAGTGCGATTTGTTAGGGAATGATTTAATGCAGAATAAAATCTCAAATTTCAGCACGACTTGATTGAAATATTTTGAATTGTTTTCAGAATTATCTTAAAAATACACTAAAGACACAAATGTGACTAAAGGAATATTTTACAAAGTGGTGGAATACAGCCAAAAATAATACAAAGCATTTTTCCCTCATCTGAAAATAGCCTGAGAATTTTACTATGGCCAAAAAAAGATAGCAGCAGATAACATTATTAAAATCCATTACATTGTTTGTAACATTCCAAATTTGATGCAGTTAGATTATGACCTTCAGATATATGCATCAATGCATTTTCACTTGTGGCAACTACAGACTGTCAGTTTGGGTCATAGATTTCGAAACTCATTCAAAAACAAGGAAAAAAACATTACATTTCAAACTTTTAAAAGATATTCTATGTTATTTTAACATAGACAATTATGTTATTTATTTGAAGTGTGTAACATACATTAACATTTATTTTACCTTGTAGCACTCTGACAGTGAATCTTTCAGTAAAGAGCTCTGGCTCAGAGCTGCCACTATTTTCTGTTTTCCATTCATATCTGACTGAAACACATTGGTCGGGCTACCACACATGATCAGTCAGTGACGTATCTACTTCCAAAAGCACTAGAGTGATATTTTTTCCCCTCGCATAAATGGTCCCACCTTGTAAATCAGAACGTTATTAGTTGATTCCTCTGTCAGTTTCTGATTATTTTAGTTGTAAATCTGACACATTTGGCCTTCATTTCAGCTCTTTAAGGCCAAACCAACAGGGGAGCATACTTGGCTCTATACAACAAGCATGATGATTCTATAAAATAAAATGGACTTAAAAATTACAGCTATGTATTTTTTTTGTGTCACAGAAATTATTAGGCCTTCCCTACAGGCTTAGGGAGTGCTGAGGATTTCCCATTGTGTTTTACACCCGCACATCCTACAGTTGAGATTCAGGCTGAGGTCCGGGATGTGCTTACTGGCCAGACTGATAAGACAGTGCTTTTCCCAGCTTGGTGATAACATAGCAGGTTTGGCTAATACTCAGCTCCAACAACTAAGACACATCCAGCTGCAGCCATTATCACTTAAAGAAGCAGAGGCATCCAGTCCAAAAATCAGTTTTTAAACTTTCACTATTCATCAGTATATATGTTACGTTCATAAGTAGAAGAGGAGATATTTATTTTTTATTTGAGTTACTTTGAGTTGCATCTTGTTTTGTGGAAAGAATAGCCACTGCATGTTTATACTTACAAAAACGCACTAGACTCTAACCTTTCAATAAATTACATAATTATATTTAAATATTATAGGAAAAGGGAAAAGGTAATACCTAAGGGTTGAAGATACTAAACTGAAGTCTGTACATGTTACATGTAATGTAATCTAACAGTGAGCATTCAGAGGCGTGTCTCTCACATTGGTTATGGCAATTAGGCTTCTGATTCAAAGATGATGACAAAACTGCTTACTTTATAGAAGATAAGCTCTAGCAGAGACTTTATGTATTGTTTTCAATGATATATAAAGCAACCATTTACTATGTACAGCATAAGGCCTGAACATACTATGTATTATTATCTACATGATAGCACATACTTACAACGGAAAGAAGAGGAAAAATCAAAAACAAAACAGGCAACTTTTCCAGTAATACAAAATAGAGTGCAGATAAACATAGTTACAGCACAGTAGCAGCATGTGGCCTATTGGAAGTATTAATAGCAAGCAGGTCAAATTGCCTGAGTTTTTCTGGCTTCTAGTACATCACTTAAGTGTGCACTTTAAATGTCATATTTGTTATTAATCATATTGGCCGTTCTTGGACTTTGGCCGCTGTTTGAAACTGTAAGTGCCTGATAAAGTGGAAGTCGTCAGAAATGCTTAATGCAACTCTGTGCCTGGATACAGCTTATCAGGGCTGGGTGAGTCTCGCTGTCACATACTCGTTTGACACATACACTAACACACACAGACACACACAGACACCAGACTTGGCGTCACAATTATTAAAAAGAACGGGCCTCAGATATTTTTTGAGCTGACACATTACGTTGATTAATATTTTCCCAAGAATAACACGATCTATCCAATGTATTTTGACACATTCAGGATTAGTAGGCTATCAAGGCCTATAGCTTTAGCAGACAGAGAAATAATGAAGAAAATAAAACAAACACTTGGTGTAAAATTACTTCTAGTAAATATCAAAAGTGTTCAGTCATGTCTTGCTCATGCACTTTCAGTTTAAATGACCAGACCACTGAATAACTTGTACATGTTCAAATCAGAGTCTTGAACAGAGGTAACTCTGCAAACATGACAGCGTTAAACTCCTCCTCTTCAAAACAGTGATCGATTACAGGCTAAAATTAAAGACAAATAATGCACATTACACCAACCAATACTGACACCAATACAACAATATCAACCAATATTTTTCAGCTAGTGCTCACCACATCAAGGATGGGTCATACTGGGTCATACACCAACTTGACATACCATTACATATGCTTCTGCTATTTTATCATTATCATATTTAACCTATTTTTTTTTAAAAGATAAACAGAGAATTAAAAATAGAGACTTGTCAAAGTCTTAAATGCATACAAATACTGGGCTACAATCGTAATAATATGCTGATAATTATTAGGCTACTAAGCCTATATAGTTATAATTCTGAAGTAACTGGAGAAACAGAATATGAGCACATTTACCATCATTTGAGTGAGAAACGTACTATATGCACATGTAGGTCAGAGTGTTGCAAGGTAAACAAGTTCTACTCTACATTAAATCATATAACAGCTGATTTTACGTATTATTGTAGTATGTTGTACTACTCGATTCTCTGATCTCCAAATGTGATGTGTGTAAATGTGTTTGATCATGTTGGCTGCTTTGAGTGAACTCATGTGAGGAGTGAGGAGTGAGTTGTGAGGAGTGAGTTGGCTCGTGTAACCCTGTGTTCTCATTAGCGATAGCATGACAGGCAACCAGTCATTTCCTATGGAAGTAGGCGATTTGTAACTGCAATTTAGCAACAAGGGACACAGTGACAGGGCGACAAGCGACAAATCGAGTTAGGATTTTCTCAGCGCTGAAGTGATAACCTAAATGATTGGCTCGTGAATCGTAGACGCTGGGGTCCGAGGTCCCCTGCCTCTGCTCTCTGAAATTCTGTCTCTACAGACGTTCCACTTCTTGTCCTAACAGTATCATGCAAAAAATGTAAGAAAAACAACTATTTTTCTTGTCAGTAGCTGGACAATGTACACCCTCACACACGACAACAAGCACTCCTCGCGGACTCCCGCTAGAGATAAACTTGGGTTGACATTAGCAACTTCTCACCTCCTAAAGTGAATATATGGTAAGAGAATCTGTCTGACAGAGAGATTCTGCTGTACTGTCAGGCAGGAAATATCAGTAATGTGTCAGTAATATATCAGTTTCAGTGCATGCAGCAAACTAACGAACAAATCTGGAGGTACTCATGCATGTGATCACTATAAATATTCAATATTAATACTGCACATTCACAGACAGGAACCCTGAGGGCCTTCTAGGCCATCAGATGCCACCTAATGATTTCTGGGAAGTAAACAATGCACGCCTGTCATTTTTAGTCTAGTTCAACAGAATCATGCTTGTATTTAAACTCATTCATTGTTTAGTACAAGATGGAAACAAACGGGTTAAATTCATAACAGCCAACGGAAAATTGTTCCATCAAGGATTGTGTTCCTCTGTGGTATCTAGGTAGAGTTAAGTGAGCTCTCGTATTGGTTTGGACTTTAAGAGCTGAAGAGAAGAACTTTCAGCATTTTTACAAAGTGACAAAGGAATCAGTGAATCATGTTTTCATTTCTAACGATTGGGACCAATTTCATAAGAAAAAACAGCACTCTAAGCCTTCTGGAAGTCCTAGATACGTTGCTGACTGTATACTGTAAATGACAGCTTAATCAGTGGATTGTTAGAAACCGAAAACAGCAGCAGCAGCAGCAGCTCTGTACCAGGCCTCTTTACTGAGTCACTGTGATACTGTGTAAAATATTGCCAAAATTTGTCTGTCACAAGCTTTTAGTAAAACACAGTGTCTTTTAAAAGCTTCAAATGTCCGTGTTAAATCTACACTCTTAAAAAAGATGGTTCTTCAAGGGTTTTTTAGTAAAGAAACGGTTCTCTATAGAACCATGAACACTCAAAGAACCGTTTGCATGATTACAGGGTTCTTTGCATCATTAAATGTTTCTTCTTTAAATTAATGGAGAATGTGCTGTACATGGTTCTATATGCAACCTTTTTTGAAAATGATTCTATGAAGCACCATATAAGATTGTTCTATTGTTACAATATCAAGCTTGTAACAACAGAAGAACTCTTTTTGATGCTATATAGAACCCTTTTGAAAAAGATTCTATATAGAGCCATCTATAGCACATTTCACCATCCAGAACCATGAACACTCAAAGAACCATTCGCATGCTTAAATCGTTCTTCAGATTGATAGAGAATGTGTTGTATATGGTTCTATATGGGACCTTTTTTAAACATGGTTCTGCATAGCACCAAAAATGGCTCCTCTTTTGTTACAAGCGTAACACTGTAATAATAGCAGAACGCTTTTTGGTGCTATATAGAACCATTTTCAAAAAGGTTCTATGTAGAATCATATACAACACATTCTCCATCAATCTGAGGAACCATTTTACCCTGCAAAGAACCATATAAGCATGCAAATGGTTTGAGTGTTCATGGTTCTATATAGAACTTCTTTACTAAAGAACCTCTGAAAACCTCTTAAGGGCGTAGAACTTTTTTCAAATTTTCCGTCCCACCTGAAATGGTGCAGGCCTAGCTTTAACAGTCACGGTTTGCCACTGCATTTTCATTGCCAATTAATTATTCTTT